GTGTGTGTTGGTCTTTTTCGAAATCTGAATTAAAATGTTCACACCCCACAGAAAGTAGAGTTGAAATTAGAATTGGAATGAAAGTAAATGCAGTTTAGTGAATAGAAAATGAAGGAAATGTAACAGGTAGCTCCTGTTTGCCATCTAAATTCACATTCAAATCCAATTCAAATCCAGAAAAGAAAATCAGTAAGTCAATGCATGATACCTTTAAAGGTATAGTTCACCCAAATTCTGTAAACATTTATTCACCCTTATGCAGTTGCAAACCTGTAGGGTGAACTTTGGGGATCAAGCATACAAAATATCAGTTTAAAACAACATTAGACTGAGCATGAAAATATTGACATTTTTGGGTGAACTATGCCTTTAAGGACTGAGAGTTGCATAGTTTATTTCCTTATGAACACACAGTGAGCTCTTCAGAGCCTTTAGGCATGTAAATAGCACCTTAATATGTTGGCTTATTTGATGGGGCCACTTATCGTGTAGCTTCTGCTCCTCGGTGGCTGGGTCATTCGGGCTGTTAAGAGGCATGACGGCAGTATCCGGTATGGTGGTGACAGCACACATGTGCCTGGGTTCCAAGATGTCACTGCCTGTAATATGAGCCCATCATTAAACAACCTCATAGATGAGCTGCAGATTTTACAAAGAAAGTGTTTTCAGTGATTACATGCCATTAAAAAAGAAAAAAAAAGAAAAATCTCCAATAGGCCTGGGCGATAAAACGGTATCGATATTTATCGACGGTACACATTCTTTGATAACGATAGAAAAATTTTTCGATATGGCGCACGATATAGGCACGTGCTATGAGTGACGCAGACAGCACACACAAACACGAACACATGCTGAAATGAGTGCTGTGCCTGCCTGTGATGAGGAGATTGTGAATAAAAAATGAATATTAGTCAAATTTAAAATAAACATTTGCATTTGAATGTTAGGAGTACGTCAGGGAGCGTCATCAGTGGCGAGCGAGATGCGGAGATAATGATGTAAGCGACGTTGTTGCATTTTAATGTTTTGTTAGTCTAGCCCACGAGATGCGCCGCTGCTGTGTTATGCATTCAAAATATTAGAGAAATTTAGAAGCTCAATGTGGAGAAGATCTTGATTAGGTTAAAACCGAAACCAAGCCATTCACACAGAACGCATATTCAGCACATTTTTTAGACGGACAAATATGACTGCTGCACTCGCGTCTCACACAAGAGATGTATAGAAAGCCATGCAAAGTTAAAACAGTTTAAACTTTTAGAAACCACGTTGTGAATTTGTGGAGGTTTATTCCTTTTCACTGCGTCTCATATGTTTTTTAATGCAATCTGTGTGAATGGTTCTTTGGCTCTTTGGATTAAGCAATGCATAAATATATGATGCTGTTTTGTTCATAATTGTTTATGCAATTTACAAAATTATATTTGATTTTTATGAGTTAATTTAGACGTAATGCACATTTTTTATAGACAGTTATTTCCTTGCGTTTACAATTTAAATGCACTATTATTTTGCTCATTGCGCCCTCCTGTGGCCTCGGGAGACAAGACAAAAGTTTCCTTTAGACCTATTTAATCTGCATATAAAACATTAGAAATTAGATATTTGTTTAATTTTTATTTTGTGTTTGATTGTTAAAACAAAAAATATTTGTTGTTTGTCTCAATAAATTGGGTTCAATTAAAAATACAGTGGTTCAATTTAAAAAAAAATTGTTTTAAAAAAGGTTATAAAAAATGTCAATAATTATCGATACCGAACGATATGAAACATTATATCGTTGATACATTTTTTTAGCTATATCGCCCAGCCCTAAATTCTCTAAAGTCAAAAGAGTATGTATTATTTGTATACACAAATGTATATGTTTCAAGATAAATTGCAAAAGGGTATGTCATTATACTCACATAAATTTAAAATATTTGCAGTCAGTGATTAATTCACACACTGGCCATGATAAAATAAAGGCAATTTCATGAAAATTACTTTCACTTGTGCCTTGCCTTTTTGATTTCATTTTTTTTCCATTTACTATAAAAAAAAAAAGTTCACCAGGATCGACTTTTTCATTAACAGATTATACGACAATAGTAAAAATATACACATGGGCATTTAGTAAGCAATGTTACTAGTATTGTATATCTTCACCTCTGTACTCTGTGGTTGTTTAGCGTCCTCTGCTGTCTAATGTTTGTATTTCAACTGAAGCATTGAGTACCTGTATGCTAGACAGTTATTTTATATTTTACTCACCCATTACAATCAATCTGATTTAAGTTTTGAAAATATGTAGCTAGGTATAATTTAAATTATTTATAAGCATACACCTTTAGATTACTTTTTTTAAAGATCAGAATCAGAAACAAACTTTTGACTGAAAGTGTAAATGGATATGTATGGAGTACTTTACAAATGTGTGTATTTAGCTATCTAAATGTATAGACTTCTACTTTTTATACAGCTAGTTATAAGCAACCTAACCCCTAAACCACACCCTATCAGAAAACATTTTTTGCATTTTCACAATTGTCCCAAAATAGGTTAAGTAGGTAGGTTCGCACACACTAACAATGGGTGGCTCATCAGCAATACATCTATGCACGATTTTGAGAGCAGGGAAGAGTCAAGGAATAAGGGATATTCAGCCTTAATTCCTTAAACTATATAGCACTCATTATTTTGAGTCTGACTAGACAGATTTAGGTTTCAACAAGTTCAAAATTTATGCCACTTCCACGGTTGCTGAAAAAAGACACCAAATTAAATGAACTGCAAAAGCTAACTGTGAAGGTTAGATGTACGTGATGGCATCTGTAGCGAAGGCATGTGTGCAAAATGTGGGTGGCGTTCAAAAGCCTGAGATGGAGTATTGACTTACAAACACCAAAGCCCTGGCCAGAGCCATGCATTTAGAAAGAAACTATCACAATGCTCTACATTACTACAACCTCGCAGACCAACACGCACATGCCAACCACGAACACAAATAACCCTTTCACATGATAATGCCACATCAGATAACAGAGCCAGTGAACATAAGAAAGCCAAATGCAAATCTTTTAATCATATTCTTATATATATATATATATATATATATATATATATATGTGTTTGTGTGTGTGTGTGTGTGTGTGTGTTGAGGTTTTTAAAAATAAATATTTATTTAAATTAAATACCATATTTTAAAAACTTATTTATTCAGACTGTTACCTCAAAATATTTATTTTGTATTGTATTGTATTATAATTAATAAAACAAATGTTATGAGTTCCCATGAGATACAGTTTAGTCTTTTATTGTGGGGGTTGTTTTCATGGTCACAGATCTACAGTGCCTTTTAACCCACTCAAAAGTACAAAAACAAGCTGCCCACCAAAACCACCTGCATGTGAAGTCTCTAGGCCTACATTAATCCTCGTGTGAATTGCTGTGGGGTCAGCTGGATCCCTTTGCACTGATATAAGAGCAGAATTACTCAGCCCTTGACCTTCATAAGTGCAGACATGATATTTGAACAGTATAATAATAATGCATTGTCAACCGACATCATGGAATGATATGATGTGTTTGTGCGTGACAGACTCACAAGGATGTGGCATCCTGCTGTGGCTGTCGCAGTCTCTTGGCAGGATACTTTCTCTAGTGAGTCTGTGCCACAGAAGAGGAAAGAAATGTCACACAACCTCAGGCCTTGTCAATACCAACGTGAATACTTGGCGCCAAGAATTTGAATAGAAACCTGTGGAGCTACTCACATTCGACCCGAACATTTCCCGCCAACAAAGCGAAGATATTTTTCATCGGCGAGTGTGTCGATTTGTGTTCGTTCGACTATGAGAGCGCGCCGACCAATAAGATTTGAGTTGTGGGTCACGTGTCTGGAGATATATTTGGTGTTTAGTGGCGCTAAAACACTGATGGTTCGTTCAAATCATGTAGGAAAGATTGTATTTAGGAGTGGAACGCTCATGAACGCAACCACCAAATCGTACTTATGAGTAGGAAACTCTAAAGTTTCTTTATGTGCCAGTTTCTGATTTGGGGGCGTGGCAGGTCAACGAGAAAACATGTCGCATGCAATGGGTGCAGTGACGCTAATTTGTCGAAATTGATGTTTTTTTCTTCTTCTTTTTTTCTTTACAATAAAACAAAATAAAAATATGGAGGGCTAAATTACTCACAATTACGCATAATTAATAATTATTTCATTATGTATTTAACGATTTATTTATATATTTCAACAATTATTTAATTATTTAATTTTGAGTAATTTGGCCCTCCATATAAAAAGTTATTATATAATAATGATAAAATATAGGCCTATAACGGTTAAAAAAGTAAAAACAAACTGATGCACATTCTTTATGCATCATTTTGTGGATTTATTATTTATTAATGCACTGGGAAGTTCGCATCAATAAATAAATAAATCCACAAAATGATGCATCATCACACTATCTAAATGCCTTTATTTGTTTTATAGTTTTCTTTTGTTCTTTGATTTACATCAATGACAGGTTTTACTTTAAAATCAGCGCCGTCTCTTTAAAACCTGATGCACATGAATGCGGATCTGACACATTTCCCATTTTCTCCACTCTTTACGGTCTTTGCAACTTAAGGGATCTTATCTATACACAATCAGCTTGTAACACTCCAAAGAGAAAGGAAAACTTGAAATCGCATCATATGACCCCTTTAAAACTTTATAACTCATTTAAAAGACTACGTTTACGAGGCAACTCGCCAAAACCGTGAATTTTGACATAATTGTGTGTGTTTTCGTCCGTTGAAGCACTACTGGTGCGCTGGCAATGTTATAACTTGGCTCAATACATTTCAGATGGTATTGTATCAGAAAAAAAGCTGATAAATAAGAACTAAAACTGCAAAAGGATCAATGCATATACGTGGATAGAAAGCACAATCAAAAGAGTAAAAACTACCAGAATGTGTATGTTGTGTGTGTATGCAATTTGGAAATAAATCCCAAGAGATACAGAAAGCACAATATCTTTTTATTGAATTTACTGTCATGAAGTTTTACGCAGTTTTTTTTGTATAGATATAATAGGAGTTTAGCAGTGCCAAAATATAAACACCCATTTTCTATTTTTTTTCTCTCATTATCTCTTTAACATTTAATTCATTCCTGATTTTTTTTTTCATTGTAACATATAAAAGACAACCAAAAAACTACAGTCCAACAACAAGATTCCTGTGCCCATCAATATTAATTACAGGTAATACTTTTAAGGACCTGCCTTGACTGTGTGTTTTCTTTTCTTTTCCTAACAACAGAAAACGAGAGTAATAAATTCTTGACTAAATGTACAATTGTTAATATCCATGGGCACAAGGAGCACCTTGAACAGAAGACAAAGGGGACTGCATATAGTGCTGCAAGACTGGCCAGTTGTTCCTGTAGATCTTCTTGCTTGGTTGCTAACTAATAAACTCTTTCCCCTTTGCTCTGTGGAGATTTTAAAAACTTTGAATGTTTTTGTCCACAAGAACCAAAGCAACACCAATCTCTGATGGGTATTAGGAATGTAGACAAGGATCCTCAGAACTAAAACAAAAAATATAAAAACAGTCAAATTAAAAAAAATGACATTTTCCACTCATTTAAACATGTGATATAAATGTAACATCTCAATCATACATTCTTAAGGAATTCCTCTGCGACAATTCGGGCCCGAGCATTGACTGACAGCTTCATCTCGCTGATCTCCTTGTCGATCTCCTCCATGAAATGGATAACAAAGTCCACCAGCTTGTGTTTGTACATCTGTTCTGTGTGGAAGTTGGTAATGAGGAAGCTGATGTCATAGCCCTGAAAAGCACAAATGAGGAAATGAGAAAAAAAAAACATGTTAATCTTGTTAACAGTTTAGATGCTTCACATGCACAACATCATTCAGCTATGCATTTCAAGTCGTAAGATTTATCCCACATAAACATGCATTTTTTCTCTTACTCCTACATAACTCCACCAAAAAAACTTGACATGCATGCTAGTGATGGGTGCTTTCGAAAACCTTTGAAACTTTTGCAAATCCTTTTTCTGATTTGAACAAGTGAAGCATGCACCAAACTGCCAAAGTCGCATGATTTGTTGAATAAAGCGGCTTTGTTACATCATGACTGTAATTTTAGAAATTAACAGACATTCTAATGACACATTTGTATAATAAAAAGGAAACAAAACAAGCACTACAATAAAATAACACATTACACAGACACTTATTATTTAATGGTATTAGATCATTTGTTAATTGCATTTAGTTGATTACACTTTTAATAAAACATTTGTATTTGGTTCGTAAAAGGTCTTCTTATGCATGTTTTGGTTGTGTTTTCATTGGCATTTACACTATTCTGACCAGCGTGTGGTGTTTGAAATGTGAATCATTTCGCAAAGCAATTGGTTCAATTGATTTACAGTTTCGAAAAACTTTGTTTCTCCCATCACTACTGCACGCGTGTTTTAATGAATCACATATTTCTTCATCCCTTGTTTGTTCTTCACAAAGGAGCCCACCTCAACAGGTTTCCTCCGAAGGATGAAGAAGTTCTCTGCTCGCATCATCATGAACCTCATAAATTTATGGCACAGGATCTTCTCAATCTCATCAGCCTAAGAAAACCATTAATATCTTTAGAAGACGACAGCAAGAAAAACACATCGATCTTGTGCAGTTCATCTTGAATTTCTTACCTGTTTGACAGCGATGCTGACCCTCACTGAGTTTATGGACCCCTCAATCAGGACCTTCTCCTTCTCATTGCGGCTTATGACCACAGGCTGCAACAGAAGCTCTTTGCTGCTCCTGTATTGAAAGACATACATTGATCATATATTTATATATCTATTAAAATACATCATATATAACACATACGAAGGATGTGATTTCCTCACCTAACTTCCACCTCAGGCTTGTTGTGTCTCTCCACCACCTGAGAGGAGAAGTTCTCCAGACACAGGGCTGCTTGAAGAGTGGCGCGCACCGCATTCAGGTAGGGTCGCAATGTTGCCGTCTACATACAAAAAAGGAGAACATTTAGAAGTAACTCTTCATTCTATAAGCTAACAGCCCATATAATAACCATAAACACACAGAGAAACGTGATTGTCAGTGGGTGGAAGAGCAGCGTTGTATTTGGCCATTCCATTAGGTGAAGTGTCAATCAACCGCCTGAATGTCACTTATTGACAACTACTGGCTGTTTTAAATGAATTAAACACGTGCCAGTTATTAAACATTGTATCAGTGTAGTGTAATGTGCATTTAATGTTTTCAATCTGCCGAAAATAGGTTTTGCCTGTAAAATCACTGACGTTAGCCAGCTAGCATGAATCAAGACATACTAACATCACTCGATCAAAAAAAGCAAAAAACACTGCGGTGACCGCATGCAAATGGTTTACGCTAAGGCTGTTTATTGAGTCATTTGATTGCTTGCACTATAATAAAGAACAATCTATGGAACTTTAAGAAATGTAAATCTCTTACCATTTTATGTGAGGTCTGTGGAGGAAGACGGAAGTCCGCACGCCACGCCTGGAAATGAGAAAACACGCCTCCATTGCGTTCTCACTTTCCCGTAATACACCTATTAGAAGTGCATTATTGTTAATCATGAGCTCATGATTTAAATGTATACGAGTAAATGATAGATAATTAAATATAATTTCATACAAAAACAAGTTCACATGTTTCTATTTTAAGCGCGTAAACTGGGAGAAATAGATATAAACACCAAAACGACCGTTATCATTTCACATCTATTCTTATATTTACGGTCAAGCCCAGTAGCAATCTTACCTTTATTCGCTTTTTCTTCCTTATATGGCAAATAACGCGATAGGTCAAATATACACAGTAGTCAAAAATGATATGATCTAAAAATATCACTGTGTTCAAATAAACCTGAACTATTTTGTGGTTTTAAACAGCGCACGAGTCTCTAAAAAGAAATACTCTTCGATTATACTGTTTGGACCTTTTTACAGTCTATGGTTTGGTTTGGACGCGCTTCAGTCAGGAATGTACCATTCTATACGCTGCTATGTTATGTTGTGGATGTTAACTGCCGAGAGGGGGTATTTATCTGATACTGAAAAATGAGTTTGCAAATAGTACATAAATATTGGTCAAACTTTTTTAAAACGTAGGTTGATCATACTAAAGCCACTGTTATACACGTTCTTATAACTTAATCGGCGAGTTGTCTCCCCCGTGTTAAGATAATGGTTTAGTCAGTAATGGATGCCCCTTCATCGGAGGTAAACAATAATATTTTATGAATAAACGCCTTGTATGAACTCAGTTAGCGTTCTGTTTGGTGTTTTAACATATTGTTTAATTGGCGACATACGTCTTTTCATTGCAAGTAATATACATATTTATTGATAAAGTGTAACAAACGGCTGTCTGTGGTTTGAACAGCATGCAGCCGAATTAGCAAATAGCTGTTAGCTTAAAGTGGCTGCTCATTATCACACACTGGTATCATTTATAGGCGTCAGTATTACATAACAGAGTGAAAGAAATTACAGGGATGCAATGCATAAAAATTTAAGTTGTCACCTATAAAATCTTATAAATAACATCTACTTCCATCTCTTCTGGGTTTGCTTGCATTATCTCAACTGTTTACTTGCAATCATGCTTTTATCACATGACCACACAACCCTGACCTTTTTTAATATTGTGTTTTTTTTTTTTCAGATATAGGTTCCTGTTCATGAGAGGATGAGTGAACTCAAGGACTGTGGGCCAGGTAGACCGAAGTCTAAGAACATACAGACCAAGGTCCAAGACTTTGAATTTGAAGTCGACCCCCAAGATATACCCCGCAACCCTAAAAATGATGCTCCCAACAGGTTTGTTGAAACTGAGATGCATAATGTATATTTATTAGAATAACCTGATATAAGATACAGATCAGGTTTTGCCATCATGTCCCCTACAGAAACCCTAGATATAAATTTTTTCCCATTTCATGCTTTATTGATTCCAGAGGAGACATATTAAGTTATGAGTATTCAGTCAAAGATTTTTATTTAAATACAGATCAAATATAATTTAAACACAGATAAAAGCCTTAAATTTTATTCAGCAATTAAAAGCATTAAATTGATCAAAATTGACAGTAAAGACAAAAATGTACACAAGATTTCTCTTTTTTAAAATAAATGCGGTTCTTTTAAACTTCCTATTTTACCAAACAAATATATCTTGTTTTCCACGAAAATATGAATAAATGTAACATAAAAATATGAATATTATTGAATACTACTACTTAAAAACAGAACAATACTATTAAATATAAGAAGCACAGCTGTTTTCAACATTGATAATAATAATACATGGATCATGTGGCACTAAAGACTGAAGTAATGGCTGATAAAATTCAGGAATAAATTACATTTTAAAATACAGGTGCATCTCAAAAAATTAGAATATCGTGAAAAAGTTCTCTCTTTTTTGTAACTTATTTCAAAAAGTGAAGATTCATTACATGTAAAGTAAAACATTTCAAAACAATTTTTGTTTTAATTTTGATAATTAGAGCTTACAGCTCACTTATATTCAGTTAGAAAAAAGTTATTGTAATACTGTAAAATTGTAATATTTCACAGTATTATGATACCTTATACCATTTTTACTGTATTTTTGATCAAATAAATAAAGTTTTGTTGAGACTACTTCTTTCAAAAACATTTAAAAAATCTTACCGACCCCAAACGTTGATGAATGATAGTGTATTTAGTCATTTGTGGTTATATATGTGTGTAAAACAGATTCTGGGCCTCGGTGGAGCCTTACTGTGCAGACATCACAAATGAAGAGATCAGAGTTCTGGAAGAGCTGCTCAAACCCCCTGATGATGAAGCTGAATACTACAAGGTAAAGATCTTTTAGAAACCAGTTCCTGCACTACATTACTGCATCTTTCCTTTCCTTGAACTGATTCTGTATTCAGGGAAATGCATGTTATATGGCTTTTGTATTGGTTGTTCACATCTGAGCACTCACTGTTGGCTTTCTTTGCAAGATCCCAGCCCTCGGAAAGCACTATTCCCAACGCTGGGCTCAAGAGGACCTGTTGGAGGAGCAAAGAGAGGGGGCGAGAGCCAATGACAAGAAAAAAAGCATGATGGGTCCTCTTTCCGAACTGGATGCTAAAGGTATTGGTGTGATTTAAGATGAGATTCCAGTTGCAACATTGTCATTTTTTTTGTTGCGTCTAGCCTTAAATCTGTTGCTTTTATCTTCTACTATTCTGGTTTGTGCAGATGTAGATGCCTTACTGAAGAAATCGGAGTCTCAGCATGAACCTCCAGAGGACGGCTGTCCTTTTGGCCCTCTTACTCAGCGGCTTCTACAAGCACTTGTTGAGGTCAGTGACTCATCATGTGCTAAAATAAGTACAAGTTGTGCAATATTTAGTCAGCTCAGCTTATGTTTTAGTCATATCCTTTTTCAAATATGTAGGAAAACATAATATCCCCTATGGAGGATTCCCCCATTCCAGACATTCCAGGGAAGGATGATGGGGCTGGTACATCGCCTCGTAGCCAGGGTAAAGCCTTCAGGTAAATGTTTTATTTTATGATTTAGTCAGTTAGTGATGTTTACATGTTTATTTAGACTACCATTCAAAAGTTTGGGTTGGTAAGATTTTTTTTTTTTAATGTTTTTGAAATACATGTCTTCTGCTCTCCAAGTCTGCATTTATTTGATCTACAAATACAATAAAAAACCGGTAATGCTGTGAAATGTTACTACGATTTAAAAGAAATTTTCAATTTTAATATGTTTGAAAATTTCATTTATTTCTGTGATGGCAAAGCTGAATATTCAGCATCATTATTACTCTAGTCTTCAGTGTCACATGATCCTTCAGAAATCATTCTAATAGGCTGATTTAATGCTCAAAAACAGTTGTGCTAAGAAAAAGATTTTTTTTAATTTAATGTTTTAAGAGTCTTTAATTAATAGAAAGTATAATATTACAGCATTTATTTGAAATAGAAATATTTTGTAAACATTATAACTCGTTACTGTCACTTTTGATCATTTTAGTGTATTCTTTCTAAATAAGTAGCACCAGCAGTACTTTCACATTCAGGTGGATGTTTTTGGCACTGTTTTCTTTGAAGATGACATGTCAAGTTAAAATTACTCTGTTTTAGCACTTTATTTTGTTGTGCTTTGTCAAACTGTATTCCAATACAACGCATCTTATGAAAGCGGTCTAATCATTTAGGGGCAATTACGATTGATTAGTTAACTAGCTGTTCAGGCAACCCACCAGCTAGTTGATTTTGAAAAATAGTTTTTTTTTTTTTCCCATTGACTTCCCTTTTTAGCTAAATTGGCAATCTTCATTCTCTCTATCTTTTACTCTTTATAGTCAACATGAATCAGCACTCCCAACTCATTTTACTTCTATAATGTGATGCATTTTTCATAAGTATTCAGTAAGGGGAAAAACATGTATTTTATCCATCAGGATTGAATAGTGATAAGTAGACCAGAATATAGGAAAACTAGATATTTGGTTATTGATGAACATTATTCAATAGCCTATATTGCCTGGGTGACATCGTCCATAAAGGAAAGTTGTTTCAAAAGCATTTTGATGAATTATTATTTCAATACTTTTTCTTTAAAATAGTTATGGTGTACATTAGGGCTGTGCGATATTGAAGAAAAATGTGATATGCGATAACTCATTAAATAATGCGATATTCGATATGCGATACGATAATGCTTAAAGTGCCACATGCTCAGATGAAACCGTTTTACTCAGCTGTTGCTGAGTCAGTTCTGTGAACTTCTATAACTATCTTGTGTCATATATATATGGTTATTTGTATGTATGTATGTTCCTGTAAAACCACAACAAATTCCTTGTGTTTGCGCACACTTAAGTAGTGATTAAAGCCCATTCTGATTCTGATTCTAATAAACACTGCTTAGTATTTACTCTATGAATTCAATATGCACTGATTCTTATTTAAGCTACAAAAGTTATTTAGGTAAGAGCAGTGAGTGATTTTCTCTTTGTCTTTTGTTCATGGCCCCAAATATTGCAAGCTGTAGCGATATGCATATTGCGATATGTACATTTGCGATATTTCGATATATTGCACAGCCCTAGTGTACATGAATAAAGTAAAGAGGTAATTTTCTCGTGTTCTGTTGCTCCCAGTGTGCCTCACACACGCTCTCTGGAGGCTCGTATAAGAGAGGAGCTGGTGTCTCAGGGGCTGCTGGACTCTGATGAGAGGCAAGGTGTCGGAGGAGAGTCTGAAGACGAGGTGCTGGCCGAGCTGCAGAAAAGACAGGCTGAACTCAAAGCGCTAACCGCACACAACCGCTCGCGCAAGCAGGAGCTGCTCAAGTGAGTCTCAGCCAAAGAGCCTCAGATCCAGATCAAAACTGCTGTCAGCACAAGATGAAGACTAGCTGGTGAAAATAAGCCTGTAATCTTTCAAAGAGTTAGAGGGAGCAGTCTGATGTGACAAGTTATGATTTTCTTTCTATAGTTTTATTTAGATGACTACTTAGAGAGCTCGCTGTATTGAAGCAGTCAAGTGTGTATTTTTAGATATATCTTTTGGTACAGTATTTTTTTCCATATACTTTGTGAAATACCAGGATTAATGTGAGATTAGGAAAGTCACCTTTTACTTTTCACCCTGTTCTTGCAGGTTGGCACGTGAAGAAATGCGAAAACAGGAGCTTCGACAGCGGGTTCGAGTGGCTGATAACGAGGTTATGGAGGCATTCCGTCGCATCATGGCAGCCAGGCAAAAGAAACGCACTCCAACGAAAAAAGAGAAAGATCAGGCTTGGAAAGCTTTGAAAGAGAGAGAAAGTATTCTCAAACTCTTAGATGGATAAATATGACCGGCAGCTATAATGTGGTGTGTTTTCTTTAATATGTTTGTTGGTTATGTTCACTTCATAAAGACAACTTCAACACTCAGACAACTTGAAGAACATGTAAACAAATATTTAATATAATGTTCATATTTTTGGTTACTCTCTATCTAAAGTAAGACCTGACGTTACTAGTTGTGATAATAAAGGTGTTTGACACTATTTTTTTTTGCTGCCATTATGTACAGTTCCCAAATGCAGCTGATTAACATAGTGGATTGATATTGTTAAAGGAATAGTTCACCAAAAATGAAACACTTGTCATCATGTCGTTCACTGACTCTTCTGTGGAATATAAAAGATGGTATTTTGAAGAATGTTGGTAACCAAACAGTTTTGGGCACCATTAGCTCATTGCGTGGACAAAAACAGACATTTCTTCTTTTATGTTTCAAACAAGAAATACAAATCATACAGAAACAACATAAGGGTGAAAAAAGACAAAATTTTAATTTTTGGGTGAGCTGTTCCTTGAAAGCTGTTGTCATAGCGTTGATAGTATTTTGTTACTACACGGCAGGAACACGGTCATTTTGAGTTTTTATATGATTAAAAGAAAATAAAGCTTTTTATAAAGGTATTGTACATGGAAATACTGTGTTTGTAAATTCATATATGCTGTCGTTTATTTCAGTCCATGTTGAATTTAGTTCTATGTATTTTGTAAACAACTTATATCATATCGCGGTTGCATGTATGTGTGTTTGAAAATAAAAACGATTTTTTTTTTTTTTAATTACTGGATTAGTGTTTTTATCACCGTTTTTCTATTTTGTATGCAAAACTTTGATTTGAATTGTTATGACAGGTTGTTCTAACAGAGGGCGCCATTCCGTGTGTTTACACACTTGTTCAGTGAGTGAACAGTATCATCGTTGCTCTCTGCTCTTTCTTACATCTTTTACCTCAGAATAAGGACTTGTTGCGCTGGTGAGAATGTCCTTTACGACTTTGTTGTTCGTAGTATGTATTATCTGTTAGTGCATCTGTATCGTGTTTGCCAGTTTTTGACGCAAACTCTGGGTGTGCAGAAACCGTTGCATGCAACTGTAGCAGTCCAGCCGCTTCACCTCCTGAAAAATAAGCTTTGAGGTGAAGTTTTGAGGTAAAATTAAACGGCGTGCAGCCTCTTACGAAGTTAAAGCAAGGAAACTGATGAAACTGATGTTGCTCAAGTTTTAACGACCCGACAGCTACAATTCCGCGAAAGAATCGTTCATGTGAGTCGGTTCTTCTTGGTGAAATGGTAGAACGATTCATGAGGTGGACTGTCGGAGCGGTTGTCGAGTCAACTGAGAACCATCTTCGCACATGCCCGATTTCTAATATACTGAGAACTGTTTGGCAACCAAGAATTACAAGAAAAGTAAGGAACTTTCATATGGAATAAAATCGCTGTCAAAAATAATCGTACGTAATTCAAAGCATCTGTGTGTCATTTTAATTTACTCGTGCGTAATTTAAAAGTATTGTATGTAATTCTGTTTTTTGTCAGAGTTGGATTCCAAAATCTACGGCCACGACAGTTTACAGATACGAGATTTTGTGTGTTTGTTAGAGTACAACTCCAAAATGTACGACTATGACAGTTTACAGACACAACGCTTGTTTTCACAACAGCTCTGTTACACGCACGACATGCGAATTGCGACACGAAGTGCGGTGTGCGAAAGGACTGTCAAAAATACGTCATCATTGTCACAGGCATTACTATCCGAGGGAAGATGAATCGATTCCACAAAGTGCGCTTGCGCCCCGCCAAGTTGAGGATTACTATAAAAAAATTTTTTTTTTTTGCGCAAGCGCACTTTGTGGAATCGATTCATCTTCCCTCGGATAGTAATGCCTGTGACAATGATGACGTATTTTTGACAGTCCTTTCGCACACCGCACTTCGTGTCGCAATTCGCATGTCGTGCGTGTAACAGAGCTGTTGTGAAAACAAGCGTTGTGTCTGTAAACTGTCATAGTCGTACATTTTGGAGTTGTACTCTAACAAACACACAAAATCTCGTATCTGTAAACTGTCGTGGCCGTAGATTTTGGAATCCAACTCTGACAAAAAACAGAATTACATACAATACTTTTAAATTACGCACGAGTAAATTAAAATGACACACAAATGCTTTGAATTACGTACGATTATTTTTGACAGCGATTTTATTCCATACTTTCATAGCCAAGACATTAGACGATTTCCTTGAACGTCAGAAACCGCGCGATGACGTTTTCCGTAATGACACAAAAGAATCACTGAATCGCTTTTTCGAACCGTTTGAAAGAACCGATTGGCAGAACTACACCAGTGCATTTAGAAAGTGCTTTGATGACTTCATGTTGCGATAAGTAAATGTTTTTATGGCAACATTTTGAACAGTGAACACAACCAAAGCTAACCATGAAAAAAAAATAGAAAAATGAAATACTAAGATAAACATAAGAATATTAATTAAAAAAAAGAAAGTGTACAGATTTGTATATCAGCATCTTTATGCAAATAACATAAATGTTGTGAATTGTAAATAAACCAACTAAAAGAGATGGCTTTTGCGTAATGTACAGTAATTTTGCTTTGTTATTTCTGGTTAATTCTAAATAATAAAGTTAAGTGACCTATTTCTATTTTAAAATAAGTAGAAGTATTTTTTTTTGTGATGCCCATTTACATTTGTGAATAAAGAATTTAGTAAATATAAATAAATGTACCATATTGAAAATTCAACATAATGATAGAAAAACATTTGCTATACAAATAAACGTAAATTCCAGTGTTTGTGTTGTTTTTAGCAAAAAATGCGAAATCAAAGCAAGATAATTCATTTAAAGCATTAAGTAAATGCATTGTCTTAATTTGTGGTGACGTCACGCAGGTTTCGCATGTGCCAGAATGTGTGGGAGAACGGCTTGCACTCTTGCGCCGAATGAGCTCAGTCGTGCGGCACGCTATCGAGACAGGACGGGACAACCACACAGGCCCCGATGGAAGGACGGAGACACTGACACATACCGGCCCTCATACAACAAGAGTCCTCAGTCCTTCAGCCCTGTACTGCTGTCCAACAGACACTTCAACAAGGTATGTCAAAACATATATGCACAACATTTGTTCTTGAAGAACAGCTGTTTAATGAAGCGCTTTCCATAGGATGCCCCGGTAGATGAGTGTGTGTTGGCAGCGATGCGCTGGGGTCTCGTCCCGGGGTGGTTCAGAGAGAATGACCCCAGTAAGATGCAGTACAACACCTCTAACTGTCGCAGTGAGAGCCTGCTAGAAAAGAAGTCTTACAAGGTATATAAGACACCCTCATTCATTCCACATGAGCAGTGAAATGTGTAGCCCCGCCCACAGAGAAATCTCATTGGTCCAAAGTTCAGCTCAACATAATAGAGTGCAACAGGAAGTAAAATTCTCATTCATTTTTGTTCCATTGGGAATTTGGTTTTTAACAATAACTTATAAACCACTGAAGACAGACCTTTATGTTATATACTTTCATTGATGCCATCGACCTGCATTATTTCAACATATTTAAATTTTTTTTAAATAATGATGTTTAATAGCAGAATTACTGGTGAAACACTAAATTACCCATGATCCTGCAGACATCCTACGGAGAGAAAAAAAAAGGAAAACATTTTAGCAGACTCCCCCTCCTATGAAGCAAACTAAAATTTCAAACTACTTGTAATTAAATGCATATTTTCCAATAAACATTATATATATTTAAAAAATGATATATAGAAAATTGAATCAGAAAAAAACACTTGTGAAAAAAAGTGGACAGGCTCTGTAGCACTCTACTATGTATTAAACATCAAATATCTTCTAATAGTCTGTGGACAGACATATGACTTGTTGCTGAAAACTTATTGTACAGGATCCTCTTCTGAAAGGACAGCGCTGTGTCGTTCTAGCCGATGGCTTCTATGAATGGAGGCGAACGGAGAAAGAGAAACAGCCTTTCTTCATTTACTTCCCTCAAAGCCAAGGAGGTCAAGTGCCTAGTCAACAGAATGCACAGAAAACAAAAAGTGACCAAAGTTTGGACCAAGGAGAGGTTAGCCCAAGTCTGACAGTCTTAAGAAGTACATTTGTTAACTTATGCCTGGCCTTACTCGTCTGTTTATTCCTCCACTTGTCTACAGAGTGATCAGGACGACAGTGACTGGACAGGGTGGCGTCTGCTGACAATAGCAGGGCTCTTTGACTCCTGGACTCCTCCTTGTGGTGGAGAGACATTGTATACTTACAGTGTTATTACTGTAGACTCCTCTCCAAATCTTCAAAGCATCCATGACAGGTTGAGTGCATAAATATGATTCATGGAGTTTTCACAGAGTCATACAACTTTTGTACTGAGTCAAATGAAGCTTGAGTTAATGTGTTGTGTAACAGGATGCCGGCTGTGCTGGACGGAGAGGATGAGGTAAGACGGTGGTTGGACTTTGGAGAAGTGAAGTCACTGGAAGCAATGAAATTACTGCAGCCAAAGTCCTCCTTAACCTTTCACCCCGTCTCCTCATTGGTCAACAATTCCCGCAACAACTCTCCAGAGTGTCTGCAGCCTGTAGACCCCACAGTTAAGAAGGTGAAACGTTTGGTCATTTTTAGAAAACGAATGCACTTAAAACTGTCTTTACACTAGTTTATTCATTTGTCCTCTATTATTAAATGTAAAAAAATATTATGGCTTTTCCATTTGAATATATTTTAAAATGCAATTTATTTCTGTGATGGCAAAGCTGAATTTTCTGCAGCCTTTACTCTTTACTCTTCTTGATTCTTTGATGAATAGTAAGTTGAAAATAACAGCATTTATTTGGAATAGAAATATTTTTAACATTATAAATGACTTTACATACCCCAAACCTTTGGATGGTAATGTGTTCATATTTTTATAATGAATTTACATAGTTTAGGATTTATGTTCTGGGTCTGGGACAAGAATAAATGAAATGTATACATTACAGACATTTGAAAAGATAATAAAGATCACAAACCATTATTAAAATCTTTGACATATATGAATGTGAAATTCTTGATTAGTTTAAATACTGACCTCCCGCCTTATGCCCTGTTTAGACCGTTCAACCTACAGCCAGCAGTAAAATGATGACGAGCTGGCTGAAAACGGCCTCGCCCACTAAGAGGAAGAATCCTGATGAAGACACTTCAGCTAAAGCACCTGAAGAAAAGTCTGCAGCAGAGAAGCAAACCAAGCCGGCTGGGCCTCTCCTGCAGTGGCTGCTGGGATCGGGTTCCAGAAAGAAACCAAGAACTTGAAAACAGAGTCACAATGTTCTTCAGAATGACCAAAAGATTGAAAATGCTCCTTGACATGCCTAAAAATGTTTTGTTAAAGTAGTAGTTCACCCAAAACTGAAAAATTGCTGAAAATGTACTCACCTCAGGCCATCCAAGATGTACAGTATATGAGGTTTCTTCATCAAAACAGATTTGAAAAAAATGTGCATTACATCACTTGCTCACCAGTGGATCCTGTGCAAGTAAATGGGTGCCGTCAGAATGAGTACACCCGATAAAAACATCACAATAATCTACAAAACTTAATTAAGTGAATTAATCAAATAATGTCTTGTGAATTGAAAAACTGCGTGTTTGTAAGAAACAAATGAACTATTATTGAAACATTTTAACTTCTGGCCAAAATACGAGTCCAT